AGAACCATTTAATACTATGCTCAAAGCCAGTATCATGCTTAAGTTATTCAGTTTTTTTTTTATACAGTTTATATAGAAAAAAAGCTTTAAATACAAGGACTGCAATTCCAACCCTGAAGGAAGGCAATGAATTTTGCTCCATGCCACAAGAACACACATTCGACTGGCTCCAGAACATCCTTTCTATAAATAGCAAGCCACTTTCTGTTCATATAGGAGACGAAGATCCAGCAGAGTTCTCCCTGGAGGGAGAGGAAATGAAATTTTACCAATTCATCATTGCTGACCCCTAGGTCACTTCCCACACTGTTCTGGAAAATCGCTAGAGCCTAACGGGAAAAGAAAGAAGGAATGGACAATAATCAACTCTTCTTCCTTAAAGGTAGCATTCAACTCATGAGAACTTTGGGATCCAACCCATGATTTGAATAGCTAGTAAAACAACCCATTTTCTGCATATGTGGTAAAATAGGTAATTATAGAATTTTTGCTTTAACTACCCTCTCACTCACGTTCATGCTCCAACATCTGAAGTGGTTGCCTGGTATTTGTAGCAATATAGCTTGTTGTCTGCTCCACCACTCAGCAGCAACTGTAACATGGAGGGAGGGGGGATCAAATTATAAGAAGACACTATTAAAAACTAATTGTTTTTCTAATCTAAGTGGAGAAAAATGCTAAGTAATGAAGTCCCTGTATTATTTAAATAATAAAAAATCACCCTGACTTTGTTTCTGATAATCTTCAGGTAGCAGGAAAATATTCTCCTGTCAGCATTATCCCCAATATGAAAAAAACATAGAAAGAAATGGGAGCGGTAAAGTGGTAAAGACATTCTTTTCATGTTTGATTACTGTACCATCAGAATAAGACCTTCAAAGCTATTAGTCACGAAGAAAAAGAACAGTAATATGATTCAAAATGTAATATATCCCTGGAAAACCTCTACTCCTGTACCTGAAAAAGAAGTGTCTTTATACACAATAATATTTATAATTGCTTAACCATGTTATTTCTTGTTCATGGAATTCAAGCTCAATTTTGCAACAAAATGTTGGCTAGATGAATGCATTTTGTTAAGGCATGGGTAATTTAATTTAATGTAATAATTTACACAATATAGACACTGCCCGACTCCAAACTGACTCTGGGAGGTGTACAATAAAATAGAATGTACAATACAATAATTTTAAAAGAAACAGGAAATAAAAAAAAAACAAGAACCAATGGTGAGTCTGGCTACCCAAACCCACACACCATCTGACATGGGCCCCAACCACCCTAAAGCAAGGCCTGGGAGAACAGCCAGGTCTTCAAGGCTTTCCAGAAGGCCATCAGAATGGCAGCTACACTGATCACAGGGGGCATCTCAGTCCAGAGAAGGCACGCTTCCTGGTTCCCGACAGATGACATTCTTTAATTGAAGGGCCGGAGTGCACTAACTCTGTCATACTGAACCAGCCAGGCTAATACCAGGGGAGACAGGCAGTCGCTCAAGTAATCAGGCCCTATGCCATGTAGGGCTTTATAGGTCATAACCAGCACCTTGAATTGCACCCGGGAGCATGCCAATAACCACAAAGCAGAGGTGTCACACGTGCATACCCAGGCATGCCCATCACTGTCCACACCGCTGCATTCTTGACCAGCTGAAGCTTCCAGGTGGTTTTTAAGGGCAGCCCCATATAAAGTGCACTGCAATCTAGGAATCAAGCCATGATGGCTTATTTAGCAAGTCTTGTTAAATGGTCACTCATGCTGTACTCACCTCACATGAGGAGTGACTTGCTAAATAAGCCATCATGGCTCAACTCCTAAATGTTAAACCCTAAACAGAAGGGCAGATTTAGTAAGTAAACCAATAAATGCCTACATGAATAATACTAATTTGTAAGCTAGAATGGCCACATTCACATATTACATTAAGCAAAAATGAAACAAACCACCTTATGCTTATGTTATGAGGACATTCTGAGGTAACCTTTGGTCTGCCTAATATCAGAGAGATGAGATTTTGTGCATAGTTCGGAGAAAGGTAGAACTTACACTATAATGTAAAGATAATGTCTTTATCTAATTGTCCTATAAACCCCTTGACACTGAAAGGTTTAGTTTGTTTTGTTAGAGTGGGTGATGAAGGGGCTGCAGCTGCCTGGAAGTTTCTTGAAGGGATCTCTCTAAAACATTGGTGGGAGCACAGCGCAGAAGAAACAGATGCACAAAATGAGAATGCTTAAAGGAAATAAACAATTTGGATTTGCTGAAACTCGGTTCCAGCTTACCATCTTTTTCTTCAGTGAGTTTTTATTAACACGGCTTCCCCGGTACAGCTGTTTTGTTTAAGAAAAATGAATTGTAAATATTTATATCCCTAATAGCTGGGATGAGTTTGAGCCCACAGCTCTCGAGGAAGTGGACAGAGTTCTTGGGACTGTGAGAACAGCCATTTGTTTATGATATCCATGTCCCTCCTGGCTTGTGAAATCTGCTTGGAAAGTGGGATGTGACTGGATCCATGAGGCAGTGTCAGCCTCTTTGAGGGAAGGGGTGGTTCTGTCTGCCTTGAAGGAAGCATGGTGCACCACCTCCTGAACAAGCTATTGCTGTATCCAACAGTATGGAAAATTTCTATCCAGTCTTCAACTATCCTGTTTTAGAGAATCAGGCCCTATGCCATGTTTTAGAGAAGGTGGTTGGGCTGTAGCTCCAGACGGCCCTGCTGGAAACAGATTATCCAGACCCTTTTCAGACACATTTCATATTGGGATATAGGGCTGAGACAGGATCAATCATGCTTGTCAATGACCTCCAGCAGAGCTGGGATGGAAACAGTGTGACCATCCTGGTTCTCCCTGATCTTTCAGTGGCCTTCAGTTGACTATAGTATTCTTCTGGACCATCGGTAGGGATTAGGAGAGGGGCACGGTGTTGCAGTGGTTCTCTCCTTTTCTCTGTGGGCAGTTCTGTTCTAATCAACTGGGAGGGGGCATTGAGATAGAAGCCCCTAACTTGTGGGGTGTTTCAAGGCTCAACATTTTCACCCCTTCTGTTGAACATCTACATGAGGCTGCTGTGTGAGATCATCCATTGGTTCGTGATTGACAGTAATGTTATCAAAGTCTTGTCCAGGTGTCTGGAAGCTGTAAAGGTTTGAACGGGGAGGAACAGACTCAGGCTCAACCCTAGCAAGACTGAATGGCTGTCAGTTTTTGGGCTCCGAATCCCAGAAATTTTCTATCTTTAGTTCTGGATGGGGTTACATGTCCCCATTTGGGACTGGTGCGCAATCTGAGTTTTCCTAGGCTCCCAATTCCTGCTCAAAGAACAGATGGCAGCTGTGGCCATGAAGGCCTTTGCACTGGTCACTCACACACCAATCACCACACGTGATGACTACTGCAGTGTGCTGTACATGGGTCTGCCCTGGGAAACCACTTGGAAGCTGCAGCTAGTCCAGAATGCAAGGATATGGGAAGCGATGGGCATGTTATGATATGTCCATGTAACACTGCTGCTCCACAAGCTTCACTAGTGACCACTTGGCTTTCAGATGCTGGTTACCACCTATAAAGACTTTCATGGTACTGTTGTAATTATAATTGTTAATAAAATTACTATTAAAAAAAGACTTTCATGGCATAGGGCCTGCCTATTTGAGGAACTATCTATCTCTGATAGTTTCTGCCCATCCTGTTCAATCAGATAAAGTGGGCATGTTCTGGGTCCCATTGATCAAACAATGTCACTTGATGGGACTCAGGAAGTTGATCTTCTCTGTCATGGTAACTGCCTCTCATTTTTACAGAAGATTCCTGGAGTGAACGTGACCAAATGTTTTAGCCCTTCGAGGGAGTCTTTGAGAATTTAAGGACTTGTTTCATTTCAAAACAACAACAAATTGTCTTGATTCTCCCTGGTTTGGAGGAGTTAAGAAAAAAGGGATGCCTTAAGGTCTTGAAGACTTAAATCCTCCAACCACCAATTCCTAACAGATTGCAAACTCTGATCCAACCACCTCAGGGATATCATAATACTCCTTGACCACACCCCCATTTTAAAAACAAGTGCAATCCCAGCCCCAAGAAAACTGACTCCGCCCCAAGGGCAGGTGTACTACCTGATCCATTTACCTCTTCTGTGGCATGTATACGTATGCATGCATTCATGTGAGTATCTAGTGTACACATGCAATGCCAACTTCTGTACCTTTTAAACTGCAATAATAGTTTCAACTAATTAAGTGTCATTTTGTGAGTCCGGATAGTGGCTATAATTCCTCCGACTGAGAAGAAGCACCTATTTCCAAAATTAAAGATTTGCATTGCCCAAATCTGATTCCTGCATGCCACCTTCTGTCACCTGTTTGTGTACAAACCCAGATTTACACTTTCACATGAACAAAGGATATTGACAACAGTCCTGGAATATTTTATGTGGTGCTGGGTTAAACATTAGACCTGTACTCAGTTTTCATCTGATTCTACACTTTCTTGAAAGATCAGTTCTTACCCCGGCTTCTGTCCACTCCACACAGAAAACTTTGTCTTCATGAGCCGCCAAGTCATAAAGAGGAGCTTTGCAACTGATGAGATATGGATATTAAAGTTAGTTTTAGTACTGTCTTATTTAAGTGGTATGGCTCTGATGACTCTTTGCTGAAATGAATAATATTCCATTTTAATCCATTTTGTCTCCAACTCCCCTTCCTCTATTTTCTTTTTCTTCAAATGTACATCTACCAGGGCACACACGTTGTCAGTGGTGAATCAAAACAAAAATCTTACTTCAGTTGACCTTGATTCCCGGAAAGTATATGGCCATGTCCATAAAGATGTGCAATTTTCTTTTCTACGGGTGTTTTTTTTCAATTTCCCAACATACCCTACAGCTTCACCTAGCTTTTTCAAGATCAGCCATGGCACGACAGCCTTGCATGTGCTTTAATACTAAATTCAAATAAAAAAATCATGTTGGGCTCTATTCACAAGATAAAGTGATTATATCACTTCATGTACTGGAAATGCTTTATGGTAGGGAATTTGGAGGCACGTTTGCAAAATTCACTTGTAGGTTCAGACCTAATGGCCCACCAAGAGTATCCCTGAAGTAAGATTTATCTACCAGCCAGTACATTTTAAAGCAAGAACTTTCAAAAACTTCAATTTCTTCAATTTGTGTGTCATATAGTAACCTGAATCCATATGCGAAATGCAACAAACAAGAACTCAAGATTTCAGCTTACCTCCTTGTATCCCAGAGTTTGACAATGTTATCTAAAGAACCCGAGATAAGTTGCTGCTCATGAGTAGGGGACCATTTCACTGAAGTCACCCAGCCAGTATGTGAGGTAAGAGAAAGTAACACCAAAGAGCCATCTGAAACAAGACAGGCAAGATCCAGTAGCCACAATTTACAACATGGCACGTAATTTATAGTCACAGAAAAGAAGAAGTCAAGATAAATGCATATTGGATACAGAAGCTTGTAATAATTTTTAAAAAATGCCAGAAATACAAAATAAAAGCATTCCTTGGTAGGATTCTGATTTTAGTTTGCTAAGGTAGAAGGTGACAGGTAATTTGGTGCAGTGGTGCTAGATTAGGGATGAGGAAACCTGAGTTCTAGTCCTGCCCTAGGCACTAAGCCAGCTGGGTGACTTTTGACCAGTCATTCTCTCTCAACCCTACGAAGAGGTTCCATCAAACCATTTTCAAAAATGTTGCCAAGAAAACTGCGGGGACCTGTCCATATAGTCACCAGGAGCCAAGGCTGACCTGAAGGACCGCCACTACCTGTCAGCCCTTCAAGGTAGTCCAGACAGGAAACCAAAACCATAAGTACTAATACTACCTTTATTGTAAGGTTACAGTAACAGATCTTGCAAGTGTAAACACACTTCCTCTCTCCCTTGCCTTTACTTTCCAGAGAACTAGGGAGGGTCCCTTCTGAGAAGCTTACTCCAACACCATTCCTCCTTAGCTGAGCCCTAATTTCATTTATCAGACTATTGTCTAGGCTGCAGCTCTTCCTCCTGTCTCCCAAATGTATTCTCACAGCTCACTATATTACCACAAAGCAGAGGGTAGATGGCATCTCAGCTGGACACAGAATGGCAGGGGGAACAATCCTATCAATGTTTTTCCTGTGTTGCTTGTGACAACCATTCCAGAGCTCAGCCACTAATGAGCTTAGTAGCTTCCTTCAAAATATAAACTACAGATCCTTAAAAAATAAAGTGTCATGACACTGATATAACTGTAAACACAGGATATCTATGGGCTAGAAGGAGGGATAGGGGAACCTGCCAGATCAGCTTCATCTACATGGTGTGACTAGCAGAAATGTTGCAGAGTCTCAGGTAGAGACCTTTCCCATCATCTGATCCCTGGCTCTGGATTCAACTTGGGACCTTCTGCATATAAAGCATGTCCTCTACTACTGAGCTAAAATCACCTACACGCAGAGGTTTCAAGAATGGACAGAGAAGGTGAGACATTTCCATTACTTTTCTGCCACATCAAGGAACAATAACCAATGCAGGCAGACATTAGAAATTCATAGAGTGGTTTCCCAATCCCACAGTTGTCATGTGAGTAGCCGCTCCTGGTTCAGAGGCTTTATTAGAAAGCACATTCCAAAGTACATGAACTTAGTACAATACTAACTTACTTACTCAGCTCAGTAAATAAGTGACCTTAAAACTATAATAATCAAGGAATACCTTTGACATTAAAAAACAAACTCATAAATCCACTTCTACTCACCTTTGTTCCGAGGATCCCATAACCGAATGTGTCTGTCAGTGCTTCCAGAGGCTATGCGCCGACACAGTGGTGAGTAGGCTATTGAGTTAAACACTTTGTTTCCAGTCTGTGATAAAATAAAAAGCGTGGTAAGTAGCATTTTATTAAAATCCCCTTTTGGAAAAAAACAAACCAACCAAACACAGAGAAGTCAAGTTCAAGTGGAAAGCTCACTTACCAAACTGGATTTAAGGCTTCCAGTTTCAACATCCCAAATCTTAATTGTGTGGTCCCACGAAGCACTGCAGATTTCATCTGTATCTGACCAAAGTACAGAAGAGACTGATTCTGTATGACCAGAGAGGGTTGCAATAGGAGTCTAGACATGAGAAATAAAGATTAATAAAACATGGTGATTGGTAATGCTGGGTTTTGTAAAAATGGAAAATTTTAATTATTGATTAAAGACTAGATTGGAAAGTAAAATGGAAAATCCCAGTAGAAGACAATGCCAAACCACTTCCATAACGTTGCCATGTAACATGGAACTTTCCATATAGTCACTAAGATAGGGTTTCTCAACCTTGGGCCCTTTAAGATGTGTGGACTTCAACTCCCAGAATTCCCCAGCCAGCCAAGCTGGCTGGGGAGTTCTAGGAGTTGAAGTCCACACATCTTAAAGGGCCCAAGGTTGAGAAACACTGCGCTAAGAACTTGAGGGGGAGTTTACTTAAAAAAGCACTAGCAGGAAATTCTGGCACACAACTAGCTGAGTAGAACCTTGGCATGTCTTAGTTGTAGTTACATTCCCTTCCACTTCCCTGGGAGTTCAGTTATTTAAATGAATTGTGAATAGAGCAAGCCACGTGAACTACTCATGAAACAGAACTGAACTTCTGATATAAAGCACTTTGCGAAGTCTTAAGATAATAGGTGCAAGGGCAGCTAGAGCAAACATGGTTTTGGAGTAAAGGCCCAGAGGGCACCACTAGCAGCCATCAACCCTGGCAGTTGCCCACATGACAGACTGTCAGGCCAAGCCTGACCCCATCCATTCCAGTGAAGTTTCACACAATTAATGTTTGCCTTACTCTTGTTAGTCCCAGCTGCTCTGTTTTTTGCTTCTTCCTTGGTCTGTTTACTACTTCCTCCACCTCCACTTCATCCTCTTCATCAGCAGGCACTGAAATGGAAGTGAGATAGGACAAACAAGAGAAGGCAATAATCACACACTCATAATCTCAAATAAAATAAATACAAGTAGCCTAAATTCGTTGTGAGTTATTTTTAACCTCTTGGGTTTCAACACATTTTCAAAGCTCATTGCAGGGAATGGATGGAGAGAAATCATGTGGACCTTTTTTTGGGATGTTATTAAGCATTCCTCCTCCTATCTATCTATCTACAGTCATGTGAAAAAGAAAGTACACCCTCTTTGAATTCTATGGTTTTATGTATTAGGACATAAAAATCATCTGATCCTTAGCAGTTCTCAAAAGTAGGTAAATACAACCTCAGATGAACAACAACACATGACATATTACATCATATCATCATTTA